CTGTATAGTCCCTTTTTCAAGCCATCCAAATAGACTGACATTACTAGCACTGAAAACATTCTAGACTCTGCCCTTCGTAAAATTTAAAAAAAAAGTGGAAGATAAATTTTTCTGTCAATTCTGAATCTCTCTAAAACACTTGCTAAACAAATGTTAACATGGTAAAGAATCAGATTTTTTAAAATATGTTACTTGGAGGGGGGAAAATAAACTGAATACAAGCTAAAACAATTACTTTCTCAAGGATCCATCTTGCTACCCCAATTGCTATATTCTTTACTATTACTATACTTCACAAATTGTAGACTTTCGCCTACCCACTTGTAAAAAGACGTCCTGGATGCATCCACGCTCCAGACACTGGCATCTCATTTATTATGTCATTGTGCGGAGAAAAGACATACAAGATGTAAGAGTAACTAAGGCTATGCCGAGTGCTGACTGCTGGACTGACCATAGACTCATCATTTCCAAGTTAAATATTCACATCAAGCCAAAGAATCGTCCACAGGGAAACAGAGTTGTGATGAAAAAGATCAACGTCAGTACACTGGAAAACTCCGACGTAGTAGCTGATATCTGGTTAACCTAGTCAGTTAATCCTGCATTAAGGGCACAGTCATCAGCAAAGAGGAGATCTCGTAGCACAGTCTCCTTTACTTTGGTGACAGCCTGAAGTCTTCGCAGGTTGAACAGTTTCCCATCGGTTCTGTACCTCAGATTAACTCCCACTGAGCTGTTCTGAAAGGCGTCTGACAGCATGGCTGAGAACATCATGCTGAACAGGGTTGGTGCCAGCACGCAGCCTTGCTTAACGCCATTAGTAACAGGGAAGGCCTCTGAGGCTCCACCATTACTCAGAACACAAGCTGCCATGCCATCATGGAACTGTCGTACCATCAGACTAAACCTGTCAGAGCGACGAAACTTCGTCATAATGCGCCATAATCCTTCACGACTAATTGTGTCAAAAGCCTTGATGAGATCCATGAAGGTGGTGTATAGTTCATGATTCTGTTCCTGACATTTCTCCTGGAGCTGTCGAGCTGCAAATATCATGTCCACCGTGCCACGCTCTTTGTGGAAACCACACTGTGTCTCAGGTAGTATACCCTGTTCCAGATGGTCAATCAGGCGATTTAGCAACACTCGTGCAAAGATCTTGCCTGCAATGGAGAGAAGTGATATTCCTCTATAATTATCACAGACTTGTCGATTTTCTTTCCTGAATGTGTCTTTCAGTTCTGAGGAATGGAACCTTGTTTCCAGAAAGATCGAGACAACTGGGTAAGTTTTTCAACAAGCACAGCACCGCCAGCCTTATAGACCTCCGCTGGGATTGCATCAGATCCTGGCGCCTTACCACTGGAACATTGACTGATGGCCTGTGAGGTTTCAGCATCTGATGGTAGGGCATCTAGGCTATAGTTAATATCTACCTGGGATATCCTGTCAATCGCTTCATTATTGATGGTGGATGGGCGGTTCAGCACAGAGTGGAAATGCTCGGCCCAGTGCTGTAAAATCAGGGTCTTCTCAGTGATAAGAGTTGCACCACTTGAATCCAGTAAAGGAGAGCTTTCTAAGGGCTGAGGTCCATACAGGGATCTAAGGGCTTCATAGAATCGTTTGGCATTGTTTCTATCAGCAAACTTCTGGATTTCATCTGCTTTGGCACTCAGCCAGGAGTCCTGCATCTTACTGAGCTTGCTCCGTACAATCCTGATAGTGTTTATAAAAGCATTTTTCTTTGCAATTGACGATGGGTCGTTCTGATGAGCGTGGTAGAGATAGTGTTTTTCGGCAAGCAAGACCTTAATCTCTTCATCGTTTTCATCAAACCAGTCCTGCTGCTTCCTATATGAGGGTCCAAGAACCTTAAGTGCAGAAGAGTGCAAGATGTCCCAGAAACATTCCCAGTCCTTCTCAGCATTTGCAGTTCCAGGAATTGATTGTCAAGATCTTTTACTAATGAAGCTACTACGTCGGAGTTTTCCAGTGTACTGACGTTGATCTTTTTCATCACAACTCTGTTTCCCTGTGGACGATTCTTTGACTTGATGTGAATATTTAACTTGGAAATGATGAGTCTATGGTCAGTCCAGCAGTCAGCACTCGGCATAGCCTTAGTTACTCTTACATCTTGTATGTCTTTTCTCTGTACAATGACATAATAAATGAGATGCCAGTGTCTGGAGCGTGGATGCATCCAGGACGTCTTTTTACAAGTGGGTAGGCGAAAGATGGTATTAGTAATGACCAGATCATGAGCAGCACATGTCTTCAATAGCAACAGGCCATTGCTATTACATGTGCCAATTCCATTTTTACCAATAACGCCATCCCAGGTAGAGTGATCGGACCCCACTCTCGCGTTGAAATCACCAAGTAAGATCAGCCTATTGGTGCGCTTCACAGATGAAAGTAAGGCATCAAGATCTTCATAAAACTTGTCCTTTACTTCATCTGGATTTGTCATTGTGGGCACTGATCAGTGTGGCTGATCAGTGTGGCTTATTTTCCACTTAGTAATGGGAGATGCAGTGTCATGAGTCAATCATTCACACCCTTAGGAAGACTGGCAAATTGGTGAACAAGATGGTTCTTAACCGCTAAGCCAACTCCAGACTCACAACGTTGGTCACTGCTATGTCCACACCAAGAATGTATAGCCGCCTGTTTCTGTGAGCTGACCTTCATTGGCTAGATGAGTTTCACACAGGGCCACAATGTCAGTGTTAAATCTTGCAAGCTCTCTGGCTACCAGAGCTATTCTTCTTTCTGGGCGATCTGCTAATGGATTGTCTTGAAGCTTACGTACATTCCATGTAACAATAATAAGTGGTTTCGTCTTAAATTTTGTATTTCGACCGCATGAGATGGGATTTCCTCCAACTGCAGTAGGCTGGGCAGGGTTTGAAAGAAGCAACAATGTTTAGGGCACATTTTCTAGCCCCTTCCTCATACTGTGGAGGTGACCAGTGTGATCCTAAAGAGGGCTGCTCAGTTGCTCAGATAGACGCCGAATCCAGCTGTTGCTTCATCAGCAAGAAGTGACCATTAGACCTGAGCCGCCTGTGTGCAGGTCCGCTTCCACAGCTCCCAGTGATTCCACACCTGCTGCTTCTTCGCTCGCCTATCGCCATGGGACTTTGAGATTTATCAGAGTTAGGGAAAGTCAAGATGTCAAGACTTGCGTGTGGATTAGATTTAAGTGAGGGAGAGGTGCGAATAGTCAGCCTCACTCTCTCTTCCCAGATTCCATCTTATTCCAATGGCAGGACAAAAGTCAAGACAATTGGAGATGGGCTGGGTGCAGTGGTTGACCAGGGCATCTTTCGTGTCTTGCCGTGCTCTCAGCATACCACGTTGCTTGCAAAAACTGCCTTCATGACCGTTGGTTCTATTTTAATAGATTTCATCCGCTCACTCCACCAGAATCTGTCTTCACATGCTTGGGATAGACAAGTCCCTTGCTCACCAAGTGTCGAAGACACAATGGCTACTCTCAACCTGGTTTGGCCAGCCTGTCAAAGCTGTTGCCCGGGGTGTGGCCACTGCGCATGTTACAGCTACTAGGAGCCACAGGTGAGAGCTGAATGTCAGATGGGGACCAAAGGTGTATGAGCTGCCCTAAAAAGGCACGACATGCCCTACACCAGAGGTATTACCCCTCCCTGAACACCCCATACACTCCAAAATTGTATACCTGTGAAGTATCACTCTTCCCTGAAGTTTGTACTATTGTTGAAAAACTTCTTGTATTTGTACCAACATTGCAACTGGAAGTTACTTAAATTTTTGCTGGAAGTTACTTAAATTTTTGCTGGACTTTTTCAAAGTCCACAAGATACTTCAACCTTCTCTCCAAAGCAAATACATCACTATTGATATGCTGGAGAATATTCCTGACAATGTTGTTTGTGCCCACAAAAAATTATCAGGGAGTATCATCAGCTGATCCAATAGAGCTTGTCAGCCTTTCTGTCACATCTCAAATTTCAATAGTTGAATAACAGCATACATACTAAGATAAAAAAATCTGGCCATCAAATAAGAACTTCTATGCTTGCAAAAATGTATTGTACATTAGAACTTTCCTTTTGTAATAGCTATTTTGCAGGCCAGGGACTAGAATCAAGTGTCATGATCTAAGGGAATATGCTGCATTGTGGTCATTTTGTTTCTGATGGTAGCATGTTGCCAGCATCTTTATTCTCATACTTTGTTATTCCCAACCATTCTCATACTCCATTCCATAATCTTTTCTTATAAAACTTACATTTTAGCCCCAAGTTAATTCTCATTGTTCTTCTCATTGTTTCAGTTTCTCTAAATCTTTCCTAAAATATGGTGCCCAGAATTGGATACAGTACTCACAACATGGAGTGAGCATTGCAGAATACAATGATTTGGAAACTACAGTTATATTGATGCAAGCTAAAAATTATTTGTTTTTAGCAGCCACATCCTGCTGATGATTCATAGGCAACTTTGGACTGCAGTTCCAAGATCCTTTTTATATTATTACCAAGTCAATGTTCTCATCTTAAACTTGTGCAGTTTCTGTCATCTGCAAATTTGATAAATTCCCTCTACTTCATGCTAATCTTTCATTAGAATGTTGAATGACATCAGACCTAGGACTGACTTTGTTTGCTGTCTGTCTATCTATTATTTTTACAAATAACTCATATCCAACATACTTCCTCCTCCTATTTTTCCCATAAGAACTGTGTGAAGTGAATTGGATTGATTGAGTGACCAGGCCAAAGCTGGTTTTCATCCCATGACATTCTGTGGATTGAGGTACCATTGATAAACATTGAGTGTAGTTTTCAAGCAAGCTGTGGAATATGCTATCCAGCCCAAGTGACAGTAAGAGTGTCATATCTTTTGCTAAAAGCAAGATAAGTTATATCATTATAATGAAATGATAATGTTAAATAAGTAAACTCAGTGATTACATAGAATTTTGTTTTTATTCTCTGTCTTGACAGATGTGATTTGCCATTGCTTTCCTCTATGTCAGGTATGTCAAACTACTGGCCCACAGGCCGGATGCATCACACCAAAACCTCACCCACCCCATTGCCAGCAATGGGGGAAAGTCCTGATACGTCACGCAATGTCACATGATGTCGCGAGTTTGACATGCATGCCTATGTTGTTTTTATCACTTTTTAGTCTAACCTATATAGACTTCATGCGGATTCCCATTACCATCTTCCATGTTAATACAAACTAGGTCTGAGACTATCAGACTTGTGGTAACTTATGTACTGTTTTTTTCCTAGATGTTGACAGATCAATTATGTAGAACAGAGGTCCTCAAACTTTTGGGGACCAGGGACCGGTTCTGTGGAGAGAGGTTTTTCCACACACCGGAGGGTACATGGTTTTGTTTGCTGCCTACTTCCCGTGGATGGGGGTTTGCTGGTTTGTGCAGCCCGACTGCTGTACTGGTCCATGGACTGGGGGTTGGGGACCCCTGATCTAGAGCTTTAGAGAACTCTAGAGTCACTGACTAATCTAGCTCTCTCTTTCCCTCTTTTTCTAGTTGTGTCTTTTCCTGACTTTTGGGGTGAAAGTAGGGACAGCATTTATCCTATTTCTCTTCACTGGCACTTCACCTGTTTTCCAGATTTACTTAAAGGTGATGAATGGAGATTTGACCCAAAAAACTAAGGCCTTTATCTGACCCTTGAAAAAAGAGCTCATTTTAGGTTAGGAGCTATTGATTGACTACATTTCTGTTAAATTCTAGCTAGAATCCTGATCCTTCATCCAGCAAGACAACTTTTTGGAAATTTATTCAAAGAATGGGATAAGTAAAATTCTCCTTATTGGGACAACAAAGGTTGTTGATTAGTACTAATTTATGCTTTTCAAAAAATATAATTTACTTTTAGACATGATTATCCACATTTTTCCTTATTTAAGCAATTGCTAGTTGTAACCAACAAGGATACTGCTATTATTATTTTGTTCATTTTATTAAAATGAACAAACATTTTATTAAATTAAAAATTTTATTAAATTTTATTAATTTTATTAATATTAAAATTTTATTATTTCATGCTTTCAACAGTGCCACCAAATTCATTCCCTGAATTTCTATGCAGAAGTAGGCATTTTAACCATTTTTTCTATTTCTTCTATTTCTTTGTAACATGTTTTTTTTTTTTTGCTGTATTCATATAATGAGAATCATCCCAATAGGTCTCAGGTATGCTTTTAAATCATATTTGCCTTCCTGTAGTGTGAGCTCAAGTTTATTTTGTTCATGTTCCATACCCTTTGCATTAGTATATTAACCATGAATTTTATGAATCAGAGTAATTTCTGAATTTGTACTGAGAAAATTAATAATTCACAGTAATCCAAATTACTCCTAATATGCACGAATCCTTTTGTGAAGTTCTTTGGGGTCTCTAACTCTATTTCACACCGCACTCTTTTGGAAAAATGTGTTATGCTGTAACCAAGCAATTTTTTTGATGAAGAACGATCCATCTTATCCTACCAACCATCACCCAATTAAGAAAGCCCTTAGATCTAGAATCTATAAAGATCAGTTCATATATCACACTATGCCATATCTTATTGAATTTGCCACAGTGGGTTGATCCAAGCAATAAATATGTTTTACAAATTATAATCGCTTACAATCATACAGCATATTAAGCCCAAAACAAGGAAGCTATATTTTATCTTAGTACAGTATAGACGTTATGGGATTGTGCAAAGCCAGACTGGAACTTTATTTGTAAAACATATGTCTTCTGCCAGATGAATCAAGAGTTTGGTCAAAAGAAAGTTAAATGATTGGGTCCAGGTTATCTGAGCAACTGTCATACCCCACTGGAATTGGCCCACCCCACCTGTTCCAGCAGAATGGACCAGTACTCATCAACCTAGAATTTTGGTTGATGGGTGCAAGAGAAGTGCCTTTTCTACCTTTTGGAACATCTTATTGTTGAAAGTGAGGTCTGCTCCAAACCTTCTGGCCTGAGAGGCCTTAAGACCTCACTCTGCTGGTTGGCATTTGGCCCCAAGGTCAGCAATTTAGACTGGAAGTGATTGGTGTAGTGTCAGGGAAGGTGCCGCTTCCTTTCCATTTTAGCCTATGTTTTTTTTTAGTATATATTTAATCTTCTGTAATTATAATTGTTTTTATATTTATAATTGTTTTATATTGCTATTTTTATTACTGTCTAAGCCAGACATGTCAAACACAAGGCCCGGGGGCCAGATGCAGCCCGCAAAATGGTTTCATGTGGCCCGCAAAGCCATCCTGGAAACAGTGAGGGAATGGCCCCCACTGCCTTGGCCCTGGCCCAGGCCAGCCGGGAGCCAATGTACAATTTTGTGGTGGCCATCTATGCTGAAACACATTCAGTCTTACCTCTACAAGGCTGTCTAGAAACAGCGAGGAACCAGCCCCTGCTGCGTCGGCTCCGCCCCCTGGGTCATGCTGGGGAGGTGTCACTCTTTGTGAGGAATGAAGAAATGGACCATGTCTTGGTGCTTGCCCTGGTCCCACCCCCTTCTGCCAGAGACCCTCTGATCTGTCCAGGCCCCCACAGGCACCCTTGACGCGAACGATGTAGAGCTGGCCATGCCCACCCAGTAGTCCGCACCCACCCTGGCCACACACACCCGTCCCCCCGAGATCAACCGCAATGTTTATGCAGCCCTCAATGAAATTGAGTTTGACACCCCTGTTCTAAGCTATCCAGAGTTCCTTTGGAGAGCAAGAGAAGTGGCATATTAGATAAATAAATAGATGATTGATAGATAGATAGACCTAGTATGTCTGAATTGTGGGTGTTAGAAACAATAGCACAATTAATTCAGCTCTAAGACATTGCACTTTTCTCTTCAATAAAAAAGCTTGATTTTGGATGAAACATTGACTGCAGAATATTGTATGGGTGTAGTATAATGTAATGTATTGTAAATTCTTCTGAAATTAATAGAAGTTAACCTTCTTAGTTTTCATGAAATCTGCAAAAGAGGTTTTCAGAAGGGGAAGGAAAATAACACAATCAATTCAAGTAATCTTCAGAGTATTCCTCAGAGCAGAAACATCTATTTATCAACCCATTAAATAGGCTAATGGTGCTACTATTAACCTAGGTTGGATTACTTTTGACTAGTTTAAGAACATTCACCAAAGTTCATTTTAGGGATAGCAAGGTTAAGCATGTTAACCTTGTAGGTAGTGGTATCAATTCTATTTAATCATCTTCTGCAGCATTTATTCACAGGTTATTATTATAAATGCTTGAACTTGAAGACAGACTAATGCTATCATAGAAGATGGATGGAGGGCAGCAACAGCATTCTTAAATATCCGCTGTTGCTTTCCTGTTATTATTATTGTTTCACTAAAAATATCAAAATGGTCACCCTATCTTCTCTGTACTTGGGAATATTAAAAAGAGTGTCCATTTTGCTTTGAGGCTCTGCTGGATTATTCTTTGAAGACCTATTGCTTTGATTTTTGTTCTGGGATATATATATGTGAAAACTGTTCCCTGAAATCTGCTGTTATGCTTTCACTACTTTGCCTGCATATTTACAACTCCAGTCTTTTGGTTTATGAGTATCAAAAGCCAACTGTCACTATTTGCTGTAAATAGAAGCACTTAATAATTTTCTGTTCTGCCACATTTGTCAGCTTTGAATATTCTGCCAGTTGAAAATATAAATAGCAGCACAACTCAGCAACATTGACACTAGAAATTTATTTGGTCACTGTGGGAAGTATCTACGGTATCTGGAAAGTATCAGATACATACTTGACAAATGAGCAATTTACAGGTGTTCTTTCCTTCCCATACACACTATTTTACTGCTTTAGTTTAGTGGCAAGAAAAATAAGTAATATATAGCTTCATGCTGCATAAAATCTGTGACCATTCAGTCAAGTTTCTCATGAAGTGTTACGTGCAATCATATGCAAAGATGTCATGGTTGCTGTTTTTAAACTGCACCCAATTAGATTGACCCAGACTCAAGAAATGCACAAAATCACTGGACTCTGCATAAGTGGTTTCTCTATAAGGGTTGGAGAGAGGTTTGATTTTGTAAAAACAAGCATAAAAATGATATATGACTGCTTCCTATATTGTGTTGATATCTCTAATGCTATTACTGTGATAATTACTGTTATAATATATTATTACTCTTCATTTACTTTTCAGTGATTATATTATACACTTTTACAAGTCAATTATTATTATTTTATTACTATTATTTATTGCTCTTACAATTTCCTATATACTCGACTCTGTGCTAAAAATTAGTACATATCAAAGTTTCCTTCTTAAACCTGTCTTAAGTCTGCTCTCTGAGATTTCTTCTTTTGTTTTTGATTAATAGTCAGCATGTAGACTTCTTCCACCTTCTTTGCATCATGCTTTTATCTTGCTGTGCTACTATACTTCATTTGGACCATCCACTCCTTCTGAAGGGAAAAAAAAAAACACCTTCTTTCATTTGGTTGCTGAACTGTTGCGGATGGCTGCCAAGCTCCAAAACTTCTCCCAAGCTGTGTCAGGTTGCAGTCTTAAAGGCAACTCTGCAAGTGTGACATTAATGGGCTCAAATGGGAGGCAAAGAAGGCACCACACTCAATTCTGCTAGGCAGCCTGCTTTTCCACGCAAGATTCACTCACTTACGAATAATTCTTCCTCCCCACAATGGAGGTGTATAGCTATGTCATACACATTGGCTGGCGCTGGAATTTTTTTTTGTGTGTATATGTTCTGTGTAATTCTTAATTTTCATTGCTAAGAGGAGTAGGAAACCCTACTGGAAATATCCAGTATCATGACCCACTGGATATTATGATGTGAGCATGAACTTGGCCACTATAAGAAAACCGTTAAGTTTCAGATTTTTTTATAGATCTTTACTTTAAGGAACATAATAATACTTTTGGATTTGTAGATATTAAATAGTTAATTATTTCATTTGTCAGAGATAATATAATTATCCCAACACTTTAGCTTGGTGAACATGATAAAAATATAGGAAGACCTGCAGGCAACACTAACAAATTTGCATTTAATAAATAACTAAGCATATGTGGTGTTAGGTACCACTGATGCTATTCTTCTGCTTTTTTTGTAAATTGCATTTAATGTTTATTTGAAAGCTCTTCTGGCTTCAGTGAGTATGACAAAAACTTGGCTCAGACTTAACATTTAAATAAGAGCAAGAATCTTTTTCAGCCCAAAAATTTTTCACCCCCAAGTAGGCAGAAATTGTAGATGTTTGGGCAAGCTATTAAAAACAACAACAACTAGGTGTATGAATCTCATTGGAAATATAATATGCCTATTTTTCTTACTTAGGTTAAAAAACCGTGGAAAGTTGTACCACTCAATTTCATATAAACCAATGTTGCCAGATTATATTGCTTTCTTTTCATGATATAAAAAAAATCAGATGTTTTTCAAACTAAGGTCAGAACAATCAACCTTCCCTTAGTGGGTTCTGTTAAAGCACTGCTGGTGTACCAAAGCCACTATGGTCAAGCAATACCATTTATTATCAGGGAGCTGCTTTGCAGAATTGCTTTGAAAGGATTGAGACATGGCATGGGATTGGGGTATTTGATGGACTACCTCACTCCAATCACA